GTTTCAATAATTAAAAATAAAATTCTTTCTATTTTCCTTTTTATAGGGCAATTATTAGCAAGAAAATTTAATTTATACGGTAAATTAACATCATCCATTGTTGATCAAGATCTTTTACATGGTTATATTGATGGTGTTGTTTCATGTGCATATACTGATGTTATATTAAATAGTTTTCTATGTATAGGATCTATGGTAGATTTTAGTGATGAAAATAATCTAATGTATCGTTTAACAAAAAATATTTCAAATGTGTTAAAATTATTAAATAATTTACTTAAAAAAAGTTCAACATCATTTTATTATGATCAATTAGAACCAACTATTGCTGATTATTTTGTTTTTGAAGCATTTACAATAGCACGTGATTATCATCATAAATTAATACCGAACGAAGAAGATTGTCAAGAATTGATGAAACTTGAACAAATTATGAAAGAACGACCAGGATTAGCTAATTATTTTAATAAACACTTATTATTTAAACGTTTTACAGGATCTCTAACAGAAAGTGAATATTTGGCAAAACTTGTTGACAGACATAAATAATTTTTATTTTTTTTTGGATTAAATATTTAATATTATAATTTATATTGATTAAAAACTATGTAATTGCTTTTTTAATTATAATATTATTCTTAACTTTCAAATATATATTTAGATTAAAACAAAAAATTAGATATAATAATATTTCGGTATTCATTCTTATTCAAATTTTGACTTTTATATACCTCATATGCCATGGATCATTTGTTTATTCATTTGATTCTTCTTTTTTTCTGTTTAACTCTTTTATCAAGGTAACTATCTTCGGATATAACAATTAAAATATAAATAGATTTCGAATAGCACGAATTTATAGGGATCTGTTAATCTTGAAACTACACATTTGTGTCTTACAAGACTTCCAATGATTTTAATATTTTTTCAAAACTATTTATAATATATTTTAACTTGACTGGATTTCTTTCTCACTTCATACAAAATTAGTGCAAGCTAACAGAGATTTTAGACTAAAATCATATTATAATAAAAGCAGTATTCATTGAAAAACTAGAAATTGTGCTATCAAAAACGCTAGAGAAGAGAAAGTTTGATAATATTGGTAATCGAACTTTTTATGAAGTACCGGTGCGTATAGTAAATTTTATTTATATTTATCTTCCATAATTAATAGTTATTTTTGTAACTACTGATAAACTCAAAATAAGAATTTTTAATGTAAGGAAATAAACACAAATTGTTCATGATCAATATTTGAATTATTGTAGTTTTAAACGATTTCAAGAGTTTCTGGTATTTTGATAAATTTAGCGAATTTGAAGGAAAAGATAATTGTCAAGATCTGAAATAAAATATGTCAAACATCAGACAAATATGCTAAAGACAAAAGAATACTTACAAGAAGTGTACCGGCTAGGGTGCGGATGAGTGTGGCTTTGGTTGGGGGCGTTTCTGTGGCTGTGAGTGGTAGGTGTGCATGAGGAGACTGAAACCCACACCCACACCCTCTAAATAGACTTTATCAACCATATTATATTGATAGATCTTTAAACATGATAATATCAATTTTTTAAACATCATTAACAACAAGTTTGGCACGCTGCTAAAGTATAATGAATACAAAACTGATTTTAGGATGTTCGATGATTTTGTTATTGATGTCAGGAAAATAAATCTGATTATTACTCGCTTCTGCATGTGTGTTTTTCATTAACTTTAATAAAAGAAAACTATTGTAAATGTTTATCTCATATATTTATATGTCAAAATAGCGAATTTGCATAATAACAGTCATCAGAAAATGTAAGGATTATTCATTACGACAGCGCATTTTTTAGAAAATACACCAGAATTGTAATTTAAGTGTTCAGCACAACGTCAGTAATACCGTGTGTTATTGTTTACCGCGATAACAGCCATAGCAATAACGTCACGTTCTTTTTCTTTGGCATAGATTGCCGGAGAAAAAAAGGCAGTCTCTTGCATCTTGCGCATCTATATATGAAGAGGTAGAGAAATGATACTATATTCGTAAATTACTTTTAAAATATTTTTTTTATCAACAATGAGTATTTATATATTCATTATATTCGTATTGTTTAATAAATTTTGATGTGATTTATCATGTTATGATTGTTCTGAAGTTGTTTTGGATTATAAACTTACAGCTGAAACAGTTCCGACAGAATTTAAAAACTGCACAATTGTGACTGAGCAATCAAATTGTTATATGCAAGTGAAATGGGAACGAAACTCCACAACTACACTTATGGTATATGGTTTTCAATATTGGAAAGCAGATGTTTTGGGTCATGATTTACAGGCTACAGTTTCTTTTAGTTATTTTGACTCACAACCAAGTTGGTCTAATATTATAATTTATAGATGTTTAACTGATCAATGTAATAGTCCAGCAAGATTGAAAAGTTTATTAGAATCATTCAAATTTGTTAATAAATTAGAACAACTTCAATATCTTCTCGAAAAAGATGAAGCATTTGATGGAAAACAATGTCTTTTTTTTTCTAATACAACTCAATATCAGATGTTTTCACTAAAAAAGAGTGATCCACCGACATGTAAACAATGTATGACTATAGTAAACATGACACCAAAAAAGAAAGTTATAGAGGCATCATGTTATTCGTTACAAACTTCATTAAACACGGTAAATCAGCGTGTAGAATTCGATATAAATGATCGAACTCGTTCACCTAATTGGTATATAGCTTGTCAACGAGCTAATTGCAATACACTTGATGTTGGAGATTTAATTTATCAAAATAGTTTAATTGATTTTAACTTGGAAAAATTTATCGATAAAACATCAGCTGGTTTATCAATAAGATTTTCATCTAGTTTTTTTATAGTTTTTGTAATATCGATAATGAAAACATTATACGGATAATTTAAATAAATAAAATCTATTTAGCAAAATGCATTTAATAAAATTCAAGCTTTTCTAATGGTGCCTGGACAAAAATGGAATTAAGATGGATGGAAACTGGTTTGGCACCACTCATGGTATTTGGTTAAATTAATTGATAACGATAATCGATAAAATATTTCCAAGCATAGTGACAAAAATGACAAGCATTTCTCTACAAAATGTATAGTTAAATACAAGTAACGCTCGTCCGTGTGACTCGCTTGACCCTCGACTGAATATTCGGCTTCTTTGGTGTTATATACTGCTTTACAGTCTTCAATAAAGCTAGTATCCAACGTTTTGAAAGGGTGGGTAGGTGTGTGTACGTTGATATTAGCGTCAATGTCATTATGCACATTGGTATACAGGTCCGTATGATCATTTTTGTCATAAGTTCATCAAATTAAATTGACACCCACACATTGATATTCAACAGAAATCTAAAGAACTGCATAAAGGCAGCAATATTCGCACGCATCCGAAAAAAGAGATTATATTTAATTCTCTGAGAGGTCACGAAGCGAAACGCATTTGCGACACTATTGTGAAAACGCGCCACACTCTTTGAAAATTCCACTAAAAATCCGTATGCTTACTAACACATCTGCCCACAATGTTATTTACAAGACACCCCTAGCCTGGGCGACAATTGCCTTGGCTCTTTCGAAAAAGATTCAATATTTGTTAAAACCTTTACGCAAGGAGGGCTCATATCAGCTTCATAAATAAACAGCCAGTCGCGAGTTGCGCCCCGGAGGGGCGCTGACGAGCGACTAACCGGCTCCCAAGTCCTATCTTGTTTTTCAACTAATCGTCTAGTTGTGTTACGATTGAACCGAATAGGTTTCCGATCTGCAGAAATAGCGAACTTTTAATAGAATGACTCCTAATCATAAGAAAATAATTATCACGAAGGGTACCGATGATCAGGGTTTGTTGTGAACTATTCGTTAGAACTTCAATTTCGCGATCTTTCTAAAAATTTGCTTTATATTGAATTTCCCGAATGATGAAACCTTAATCAACTTTTCTCGAAATACATGCGCGATTTCCTACGAATCTCCTCTGGAACAACCATCCTTGAAACTCGCGAACCACTGATTAGCCGTTTGTTGGCCATTCAATGGAACGCCACTCACAGCTAGTAGCTGACAGCATCAAGTATAAAAGCTGGATGGCAAGAATAGCTGATTGGATGTGGGCTGGATATTGAAAACAGTACATGCAAGTAGATGCCAATCGATTCCTCAACCCCAAAAACCTTTGGTCAAACTTTATAACAAATCATTTTTTTCTCAAAAAAGGCCTTTTTTAGCAAAAAAAAGTCATCTGAAAAAAATTTCGAAAAACTAATGATGACAATGGATTCCTCGATCCCGAAAACCTTTGGTCAAACTTGGATCTTTAATCTTTGATGTTTTTTTGACCTTGATGTTTTTTTTGACCCTGACACAGACAAACTATTTTCTTTCATA